AAAAAAAAAAGGGCGGGCTTATGCTTGCTGAAAAGCCCCTGTGCCACAGGGGCATGCCAAGGAGCCAACTGGTAATAAGGCCTCTTTTCGAAGATCCATGCCCACGTAGGGTTCCCAACAGGCTCTGCTTGGGCCCCTCAGCCTGGTCTCATAGGCGTATAAACAGGAGTTGGCACGTATTTGCAGGCCCGCCTTCACTTAGGGCGGCCACGGGCCCTTTCCAACACTGCCGACGTACTAAATCCTTGCACAGGGTACAAAGTACTACAATCTTCCACTACTCTGAAAAAAAAAAAAAAAAAAAAAAAAAAAAAAAAAAAAAAAAAAAAAAACTTTAAAAAAGTTCAAAAAACTTAACCCTTTATGTAGGGTGTCCCTCTTCTCTTTCGTCTTGCTAATAACTGCTTAGGGGACAATCATGAAGTTTTTTCGTTTTTTTTTATTTTTTTTTAATTACCTTTTTTTTTTTTTTTTTAATTACCTCCCCCCTTCCCCCCCAAGGGTTAAAGGTTTGTGAACCCCATTTCATCTCACAGGACAACAGTCATCATGACAGCTAAGCATCAGGGGCCAAGTCCCACTAGAAACTCAATTCCTGAATCTGGACGTGTTTGTGGAGATGTGCGGTTGGATTCTCAATCCAATGCAAGGGACTGACTGGCCAAAAAAAAAAAGGTACTTTCTTCACGCGAATACAGCGTACAGTCATTATAGCTGTATTTATGGTATTTTTCAGTCTCAATACAGCAATATAGTGACCATACGTTGTATATGGGTCAGTCTCAATACAGCAATATAGTGACCATACGTTGTATATGGGTGAAAAAGTTAGGCCTCCTTTCATGGCGTCTCATACCTCACCCACTTGAGCAGGGCCAGCAGGCAGCACCGTCCTCTTGACTCGTGTGGCAATCACCAGACTGCAATTACGGTTCAATTCATACACATCATCACAATGACAAGTTATCTGATTCGTACATCTCTTCGTTGCAGCCTCTTCTGATCGCCGTGGAGGAGAACTGGACCGTTATGGATGACACTCCTGGGAAACTTCAGCTCAATGCAGTAAGATCTTCCCTCCCCGACTATGCTAGTCTACCATCCCCTGCCTTCCCCGCCCCCCCCCCCCCCCCCCCCCCCCCCCCCCCCCCCCCCCCCAGCTCTCTCTCCTTTCCCCTGCACCGCCAGTGAAAGGGCTGTGATGGAAAGGGAAGGGACAGGGAGATGAAAGGAAAAGAGAAACGACGTCCTTTGGGAGATCAGTTAACATATGGAATGATACCGAGAAGATTAGCATGGCTCCTGGGCAAGGATGACACACATTAATTGAGATATGGTCCATCAGAAAATGTTAAAACTGAAAAAAAAGGGAAACGACAAGGGAAAGGGCAAAGGAAAGGGCAAAGGCAAGAGCAAGAGGTGAGAGAGAAAGGAGGAGGAGAATGAAAAAGGAAATGGATAGGGAAGGGACAGGAAAAAGGAAGCAAACTGCAAAACGAAATGAACAATAAAAGGAAAGGAAAGGGAAAGGGGAAGGGGAAGGGGAGGGGGGAGGGTCAAGGGGAAGGGGAAGGGGAAGAGGAAGGGGGGAGGGTGGGGGGAAGGAGATAAAGAGTGGAGAGGGGGAGTAAGAGGGAAAGGGAAGGAGAAAAGCTGAAAGGCGAAGGTAAAGCAAAGGAAAGGGAAGTGAAAAGAATAAAGAGGAAGCAAAAAAAGAGAAAGGAGAAGTGAAGCTCCCCACCAATAGAATGGGGCCTTCTTTTTTTCCATATGAAAAAAAAAACAGGAAAAAAGGGGAAGTAAAAGCAGAAGGGGAAGTGAAAGGAAAATGGGATACGAAGGGGCAAGGGGAAGTGGGGAAAAACAAAAACAAAAACAGGGGACATGAAGGGAAAAAGGAAAAAGGGAAAGGAAAGAAGAAGGGGAGAGGGAAAGGAAAAGAGGAAAGAGAAACAGGAACGGGAAACAAAAAAATAGAAAAGGGGGAAAAAAGAAAGGGAAAAAGGGGAACTAAAAGCAGAAGGGGTAGTGAAAGGAAAATGGGATACGAAAGGGCAAGGGGAAGTGTGGGGGGGGGGGGGGGGGGTCAGGGGACATAAAGGGGAAAGGGAAAAGGACAGAGGAAGGGGAGAGGGAAAGGGAAAGAGGAAAAGGAAACGGAAAAATAGAAAAGGAGAGGGGAAGGCGCAAAGGAAATGAAAGGAAATGGGAAAAGGAAGGGTAAATGGAAAAGGAAAAAGAAGGAAAGTTAAGGGGCACTGACCCCTAAAAAAAAAAAAAAAAAAAATTAAAAAAAAAAAAAAAAAAAAAAAAAAAAAAAAAAAAAAAAAAAAAAAAAGGGTCAAGGAAAGTTAAGGGGGAGAAAAAGGGAAGGGGGAAGAAAAGGGATGAAAATTGGGGAAGCAAAAAGGAAAAGAAAAAAAAAAAAGAGAAGGAAAGGGGAAGAAGCAAAGGGAAAGGGAAAATTTTGAAAGGAAAGGGAGTGAAAAAAAAAAAAGAAAGTTTAAGAAGCAAAGGGAAAAGCGGAAGGGAAAGGAAGTGAAAGGGAATTATGGAGAGCGAAAGGAAAAAAGGGAACAAAAAGGGAACAAGAAGGGAAGGCGCTCTAAGGGTGGACTCGCTATTTGGAACTGCAAGACCAGCTAAAAGGCTAAAAGCCCTGTCCTTCAAGGTTATGATTCGTCTACTCATGGGCATTGATATTCTGTGGGCCCGTATGCCGAACTGCGGATAACAAATCTCCCCCCCCCTCTCACCCGCGGAGGCTCCCGTCCGTGCACTGCAATGGCTCACCAACCCTTCCTGGACGGTCCCCAGTGCATCAAGACTGCCCGACCGACAGACACTGCAAGAATGAGCCAAAAAAGACATTGCAAACGATCCCCTGTGGCTGGGCATGGTCAAGTTGTGGCGGGAGATGGGCCCGGATAGGCTCCCCCCGCCCATGCGATGGCACGAGATTGTTAAACAACCACTCCTTGAGTCCTTGGTAACCCCCATATCTCCGATCATGAAGGGAAACCCTTTCGCCTCGACAACAGATCGCATTGGAGAGGTTGGGTGGCCAAGGGGGGTTATCTGCTGGCAGACATATGGGACTTCAAACGAAATACCTGGAAATCTGATGACCAAATGAGGGACAAACTCAAACTCGTCAGGGACAGGACCGGAAAGTTGTGTCAACGACAGGAGGCGGTCCCCCTGGCTTGGGTACAACAGCTTAAGCAAGGTCCCACCATCCAACAGGGGGACTGGGTGGTCCAATGGACACAGCTCCGGTCACCAACAATGGTCGGACGGGCAATGAATAAGTCCAATCATCAGGTTCACGTAGAAGCGTATAGCATATCCCATCCCGGGCCAAGGTGTTCTCCAGCGCTGAGAAATGAAGAAGTTGATCACGACTCAAACTGGTCGGGTCTCGTCAGGGTAAGAGTTCTGGAACTGTCTTCCAACCGGACTACCCCCTGGCCACTCTCCCCTTTTACCCGATGGATTGGGAATGGACACAGCCTCCCCCGGCCAAACCCCTCAAAATCTGGCAATATTCCGTGAAACAGGGTTACCGCAGAGTGCACAAAACTTGCCAGACAGAGGCCTTGATAAAAAGACGGTGGGGGAGGGACTCAATCCTTCCCCCGGAGGACCTCAGAGACTTCTCTTGGTCACAATATACCCATATAATGCCGACGGCACACAGGGCACTCCAGTGGCAGATCCTATACCGCTGTCTGGCCACCCCCGACTGGCTCGTCACAAGGACGGACCTAGAACAGCATGGTCGCCTTTCACCTATCTGCTGCTATTGCTACACAAAATTCTGCTCCTAGGGAACCAGGCGGACGTCCCGGCCACCTGGTCCCCCTACGAAAGGAACCTCTTTCAAGTTACAAGACTTGAGCTGCTGATGATAGCCTGGCGAGCCCACTGCTCCTTCGAACAACAGCAGCACATGGTCGGACTCCCGCAAGCCAAGGAACACATGACAAACTACCTGACAGCTAGGGTAAAAGCAGCATGGGACCACCTCCGACACCAAACATGGTTAATAGAGGACAACCCGAGCCTCACCCCTCAGGCTAAGAAACAGAAAACAGAGGAAGTGAGGACCCGGTTCTCAGAGGAGTGGCTGGGGGACCTACGAAAGCGATTGCGGACATCCACGACTCACAAATACAATGGAATTACTGAAGGAGGGATGAAAATACCTGGACTTACAAACCACTATCTCATTTCCCATATTCAGCCACCCCCCCCTCTCCTTTCCCC